AGCATAAGGCTCACCCCACGACCCTGTGGGGCCCTCAGCCCTACACTTTGCATTCTTTCTCTTTTTTCTATTCTGTGTATTTTCAAATAGCTTGTCTTTGAGCTCTGACCGTTTCCTCTGCTTGTTCCATTCTGCCATTGAGAGCTTCTGTTTACAGTTCAGCAGACTGTTTTTCTCAGTTCCAATATTTCTGTTTCATTTGTTAATTTCAGTATCTTTGTTAAAATTCTCTGTTAAGTTTCCGAATTGATTTTCTGTGTTATCTTGGAGATCACTGAGTTTCCCCACATCCGCTATTGAGCTCACATAGTGCCATCTTATTAGGGACAGTTAGGATAGAAAAAAGGTTCCTTGCCGTGTCCATTCGAGGAGTTCACAGTTCCCTGTTTGCTTGTTTCTTCTGAATGTACATCTATGTCTTTGCACTGAAGGATTCATCATTTGTTCTAGTCTCCATCTGGCTTGTTTCGGTTTTTACTGAACATGTTTGCTTGGAGATTCTTTGCAAGGTACCTGTTGAATTTTTTCTGCTAGGTTGCTGCTTCCTTCTTTGGCACTAGATGGCACCATAAACCCAGGTTTTCCTCAGCTCCAACAAAGGGTCAGCGTGCTTCCCCTGTCAAATGGGGGAGGTCCCACAGGGGAAATCCTGGTGGTGTGGGAAGATTGGCAGGGGGGTCCATGCCCAGGGAACCTATGGACTGTACCTCCCACCATGTAGCACTGCTGAACAGCCACTCTGATTTGGTGCCTCCTTTCGTATGACAGGGCAGTTTTTAGGGCTAGAGATGCCAGAACCACCTCTTCCCTTTGTCTCTGGCTGGTCTAAGGGATAGTTCTCCTTTAAGCATTCTGAATGCTTCCCTTGGGGTGAAGCAGAACAAGTCTCCTGCCAGGGAGCCGACATAGTAGGGAAGCTGGCAGCCCACCTTGAGCTCACGTTTTCCAGTGCAGAAGCCGTGAGCCAGGGGGATTTCCCAGCGCTTGGTGTCCGGTAGACTGGGAGAAGGGACATCACAGAAACAGAATTCCAGTTATCTGCTAGGTCAGAGTTTATTCACTTCTCTGAGGCCCTGGGAACTATCTCATCCTCACATTTGAGCGCTGGGATGTTGCCGGAGGTCATCTTGGTGCTGAATATTTTTGATTTTCTGTGGCAGAGAGTGATGCCAGCTTCCTTCCGTGCTGCCATCCTGGAACTGGCCATCTTCTCCATGTTTTTTTCATTTGCTTTTAATTCTGGGTGATAACAACTGAACTTCATAAACCATCATGCTCCACATGTGGGTCGAATTTGCCACATACTGACCCTCCAAGGTGGGGGTTGGCCAACCCACCCTGGGCTCTACTCCCCATCCCCTGATCTGGCTCTCACATGAGGGTGGCATAGAGGGCAGATTGCTGAGCCCCAGAACCCGGCTGTCCTCACCTGTAAACAGGACGGGGTGAGAAGTCAGAGGAGGCCCTGGAGGGTCTCGGTGCTTCAGGTGGGAGTCCCCACAGCTGGGCTGACATTGAAACTCTGGGCCGGGGGACCAGCAAGAGATGTGTTTCATTTGCAAGAGGAGAAACAGTCATGAGAGAAGGCAGAGCCGCACTAAGAGTCGGTGAGCAGGACACTGTATGTGAATCATAATTTCACTAAATCTCCACGCAGGAGTCCTAGCTCAGCAGAGCCGCTGCCAGCCTGGTCCAGGGCCAAGCGCATGAGCAGGCTCCTCCCGGGGAGTCTGGCTGCCCCAGCCTCAGGGCTCCCAGAAGCCCCCACTCACAGCAGAGTACACACCCCACGTTACCTGGAGTGGAGACTTTGAGAGAGTGGGGGACACACTGTCACTTTGGACACTGATTATTCTGAAATAGGCATAGAATTTGGCTGTAATCTTCTGCTTTCCATGAGAAAAATGTTATTTCTGTAAACTAGCAGAGGCCTTCTCTCTTGCTTGTCGTGTGGGGGTCAGTTTGGGGATCCTCAGCCTTTGCACATTGCTCCCAGCCCCTGCTCCCCGGCATCAACAGGCCCTGGAAGCTCAGAGAGATGGAACAGCTGTGCTGCCAGGGCCTGGCCTTCCACCCAGCCGAGCCTCTGCCCTGAAGTGAGCCCAGCAGAGAGAACAGACGACAGCCTCCAGCTCCGGCCACAGACACTGCCTGACCCGCTGCCATCTCCAGGTGGACAGGAAGAGACTGAGTCCCTCTCAGCACCATCCCTCAAGAGGGGAGCACTGGGGGCAGGGGTGAGGAGGCCCCTGAGGGTCACGGTGGTAGCCCCCCAACCTCCCTCTAGACACTCACAGGACTCAGTGCCACAGGCAGCCTGGGGGTGAGGGCTCAGGCATCAGGTGGGGCCCCCCACCCCTCGCTCCTCCCGCACAATTTCTTCAGTGAGGTGGGCACCCCGAGGACAGGGCCTGTGAGGTCAGGCATCACCCTGCACAAGACCGCAGGGCTGGACCAGGCCTTGGTGGGGATGGAGAGGTTGCTGGTGCTCAGAGGAGGCTCAGAGACGGCATCCGCCAGGTGTGGGAACAGGTAGGGGGTCATGGGCAAGGCTGAGGGACCCCCCACGCTGAGAGGGCCTCAGGGGAGGGCCCATCTGCAGGAGGGGGCTGCAGGGCCTCCCACCCACCCGTGGTCACAGTCAGAGCAACCTGGGTGCTCAGAGCCTGGGCCAAAGGATTGGGAGCCCGTAGAGTCCCGAGGGGTGGGAGCCAATGGTGCACATGCGGGCTGGGCCTCCTCGGGTCCGACTGAGGGTCCTCGCTCGACACCTGCTGCTGCCCCGGTTCCTATTACCCCCACAGCTGCCTACCCCCAGGCACTCCTCTGGGGCTGAAAGGGCCCAGGGTCCTAGCGAGGTGGGGAGGCCCCGCCACTTCCCCAAGTCTGTGCTGGGGAGTCTGTGGGGTGCGGGCGGTGTGGGTATCTCCCCACAGCCGTCTCAGTCCCGGCGGCATTGGGCCAGAACGGATCTGCTCACGAGGTGGGCGCCAGCCCCCTGGGTTCAGGGAGATGTCACAGGTTCCGGCTTTGGTGGAAAAGGCAGGGGACCTCTTGCTCCCTCCTCGTCCTCAGAAGCCAAGACACACCAACTCCCGGGACCTACAGGCCCACCCTCCCCACGCTCAAGCCGAGCTCACCGCCATGGAGGACGGGGGACCCGGAAAGGGCGCGCCACGGGAGAAAGAACCCTGGAGAGCGCACGACCTGACGGCGGGCAAGGCAAGGATCCGCGTCTGAGCTGCTGGGAACCCCGGAGCCCCGCCACGGAGCCGAGGAAGCGCCGCCCCGCGCGGTGAGTACCGTCTACACAGCGCGCTTCCTCTTTTCTCGTTAGCCCCGCGGAACCAGCCTCTGGTTCTGCACCTCGCGCTCTGCGAGCAGCGCCCGGCTTTGGCGAGCGCTCCCCCGGGACGGCCCAGCGTCTGCCCCGCGAAGCCCGGCGTGTCCAACACAAGGCCCGGGCCCCGGGGCAGCGCTGGAGCGGGGCGCGGGCGCCAGTCCTCCGAACAGGGGCTCATCGCAGTTCGGCAGAAAGAAAGCGGACCCCGCGCCCTGGTTCCTGGGCCTTCAGGCAGTCCCGCCGGCTCCCGGCCCCTCCCCGCTCCCACCCCGACAGCCGCCTCCCCGGGGACCTCCCCCGAGGCTGCGCTTTCAGCCCAAACACAGGGAGGTCTTCTAGGAGCCCGCCCAGTCCCCAAGGCAGCCCAGAAACCCCCACTCCCACCTGTACCTGCCAAGCCCTCGGAGGGGACGCCTGGACCCGCCCCGCGCCGGAGGAGCCCGCACAGGAGCCCCGCCTCGCCACCCCTGCAAGAGGCAGCAACCCGGAAAACTCGTGAGACGCCTCTGAGCAGCCCAGAAAGTGCTCGGAAGGCACAGCTCACCCTGTACGAGCAGGGACGGCGGGGAGGGACATGCCAGCCCCGTGAAAGCAGAGAGGACGCTGCAGGCCAGGTACGCCCAGCAGGTGCGGTCTTATTTCTCACTCTTACGTTTACATCATCTCATTTTGTACTTTACGTCTAATAATATGTAGCTGGCCAGGTACAATGGCTCAAGCCTGTAATTCTAGCACTTTGGGAGGTCAAGACAGGTGGATCACGAGGTCAGGAGTTCAGGACCAGCCTGGGCAACATAGCAAAACCCCATCTCTACTAAAAACACAAAAATTAGCTGGACATGGAGGCATGCACCTGCAGTCCCAGCTACTCCTGAGGTGAGGATGGAGAATCACTTGAACCTAGGAGGCAAAGGTTGCAGTGAGGTATCACGCCATTGCACTCCAGCCTGGGCAACAGAGCAAGACTCTGTATCAAAAAAAAAAAAAAAAAAAAAAAAAAACGAATACACGGCTGAGCATTATGCGGTCAACTCCAGGCAGTACCCCTCAGCCCTCTGTCCCCTACAGCTCCAGGCACCCCCCAGCCCCTCCCCTGAACAAGACATGATGCCCAGAGGACGAAAGTCCCCCACAGGTTAAGCCAGAAACAAAATCTGAAAGCTTCAGCATCTCCCTGTGCTCAGACCCACTTGTAGCAGATTGCTGTCAACAGCACCATCAGGCTGTGGGTGAGGAAGAGAAGGGGAGCAAAGTGCACCCACCCTTAGCTGGGCTTCTCGGCAGCCCCACCACTCAGGGAACCGAGTGCCCCGCAGCCTGGACCCTTCTGTGTGGGGAGTGGGTGATCCTGGGGGCCACCAGCTGCTGGTGGTAGGACGGGCCTGCCAGGCAGCGCTGGCTGCGGGAGGGGGGCCACAGCAGATGAAGCAGGACAAACTAGCGGAGACGATGTCCAAGCTTCTGTGGACACGTTACAAACGGTACAGGCTTGACATTTTCATGTAACTGGAGTTTTAGAATAAAACCATGATCAGGTTAAGTAATAATGACATCCCACAACTTTCAAGATAAAGGCATGTCCCCACCCCTCGCAGCCACACCCCACCCATCCCTGGGGCTCACCCAGACAGCTACTGCTACAGAAATAAAATGGCCACATTGTCCAAATCTTGACTTTATTTTTAATATAAAAAATGCAAATTTGGAAACCCACCCTACTTTCCCCCTAACATAATGCTTTACCTCTTAAAAATAAAAATAAAGTACTAATTCTATATACATCACATGTACCATACAAAAATGTATCCAAAGTTTCTATTGCTACCAAAGTGTTCTAAATTAAAACAAGTTACAGAAAGCCCCTCATTGTAAACAAAAGATTACAAGTTATAAAATCAAAGTACACAGGCCAGAGTCATTTATACAAGGCGATGCAGTCTGCTCCCAAGCCAAGTTGAATTTGTATGTGCCTGTATAAAAATGCATATCAATATACCTTTGCAAATGTATTTTTCATTATAAAGCAAATGAATACACTTTCTGCAATAAATAATCCGCTGGGAGGCACACCTTCGGGGTTTGAGGTGGGCAGGATGAAGGGAGGTCACGGGCAGGGGGACGATGGGCCGGGATGGGAGCAGGGACACGCCCGCCGGCGGTCACGGGCAGGGGGACGATGGGGCGGGGATGGGAGCAGGGACACGCCCGCCGGCGGTCACGGGCAGGGGGACGATGGGCCGGGATGGGAGCAGGGACACGCCCGCCGGCGGTCACGGGCAGGGGGACGATGGGGCGGGGATGGGAGCAGGGACACGCCCGCCGGCGGTCACGGTCAGCGGAGTGTTTTTGGTGATCGGCAAGTGATGTACACAGCATAACTTTATTCTCCCCTCTTTTCACAAAGTACCATTCAAAATAATGTCATTTTCTTTCTTAAAATACACATTTGTCATTGTAAATTTACATCCCGTCTTATTAAATAAGTGGTACTCTGTGTAAAGAGCATGATTTACAAAATTATTAAACATTCAAAAGTCTTTAAGAAAAAGCTACATATCCAAGTGACGCCAGCAGCACGGCCTGGGGACGTGCGACAGACGCACTGCGCTGCCCGGAGGCGCCCACCCCACCCAGACAGATGGGTCCCTGGAAAACTTGGAAATAAAACCTCCCCCCTCCCTGGGGAAAAAGAATTAAAGAACTATGACTAAAAATCAGAATAAGTTAAGTTTTGAACAATATACAAATATGTACAGCTTATCAACACTATGGACAAGGAAGACCGCGCTGGGGCGGGCCATCAGTCAATGTCACTGAGGTCGCTGGTCGGCTCCCCGTGGACACGGCTCAGGTGGTTCATGGCACGGTCAAACGCAATGCGCACGGCCTTCCGGATGCTGGAGTTCCTCCCTTCCATCATCTTCAACTTGTCTATAGTCTCGTCAATACCAAGGGGAACCATTTTGGACTTAGGAAGCCACTGCCTTTTTAAAAGGAAAAACATGGAAAATCACTGCTTGCATGTGGCACTGCAGCACGCTCCATGTGATCATCTAACAAATCCACTGCCCTCTGATACAACGGGGCCCTGCTCAGCACCCGCAAGACAGCTGGGCCCCATGCAGGGATAGGCCCGAGGCCCAGGGGTGCACCCTCCTCCTCCCCTCCCCTCCCCGGTTTGGGGACGTGGGAAGCTAAGGCATAAAAACCGTCACCTCTTCCATCTCCAAAACGTTTCCCAGTGCCTGCTGAGTGACAAGACACACATACACCAAGCCCGGAGCCAGTGTGGGCCCAGAGCAGGGGCCAGTGGTAGGGAAGACCCCATCAAAGGGGCCTCAGATGGACAAGGCACAGGCCTCGCTCGGAGCCTGACAAGGAGCAGTGGCCACGTGCCTAAGAGGCAGAGGTGGGTGCAAGGAAGGCAAAGACAGCAGGGGTGCCCGTGTTGCCAGTCCTGCTCTAGGCATCTCAGGCCGGTGGCCCCAAGCCCCTGCGCCAGGTCCCAAGAGCAACCAGCTCTAGGGAACAGGAAGCACCTGCCCAGGCCACACGCACACGCACAGGGCACAGCCGGGGCCACAGCTCCTCCCAGAGGCCCAGGCTGCCAGTGTGTCCTACACAAAGGGGTCTTGGGGTTTGACCCCTGGCACATCAGGGTCCCAGGCGCTCGGGGGAAAGAGCAGCCCAGGGCACAGGGGGAGCCTCCTGTGATGGGTGGACGTCATCTGAGCGGAGCTGGGTGACGCCAGGATGGAAGTCTCTAAGCACGGGGCCAGAGGTCAGGCCTGGGCAGGGCCATGTCTGCAGCACAGGGGCCTGGGAGCCCAGCGGAGGGACCCCCAGCACTACAGTGGACACAGGTAAGGAGCGTGGAGAGCCCGGGCCAGCTCCCTCAGGTGAGAGGGAGAGGAAGCCATCGGGGCAGAGATAGACCCTGTGCTCAGAGCCTGTCCCACAGTCCCAGCAGGGTTGCTGGGCAGTGCCCTTCACCAGGCCCCAGCAGAGCACCCACCTCTGACTTTGTGCCAGGGCCTGGCAGACAAACAGGCTGTTCACCACAGGGACACTCAGGTCACCCAGCAGCGGTGTGGCTGCAGCTTCTCCACACTACCCCCGGCCCCTACACAACCGCCCAGCCGGTCCCCGAAGTCTAAGGCCTCTCGACTCACCAACTTCTCTTATTATCAAAAAAGAGAACGAGGAACAGCTTCTCGTCGGACTTGGTCTGCATGTGCTCCCCGATCTTCAGCACGTCCAGGGGTGGGGCCGGGATGGTGACGCCATTGTGGTGGCCGGGCACTCGCGGCATCTTGGGGTCAATGATCTGCACGGGAAGGACCCGCTGTGGTTGCTATGAGGCTCGCACCCACAGACAACCACCCCCGCCCCCCAGCTGTGTGAGCCTCCTGGGGACACACAGGTGCTGGGGCCCTGGGAGCCACGAGAGCCACACTCACCAGCGCCGGGTAGGAGGGGTAGCCACTGCACTTGGCCCACACCACCTTCAGGGGCTCCAGCACCGAGGCAGCGGCGTCAGTGGAGATCCACATGCTGTTCTGACCGACTTCTGCAGAGAGGTGCCGGGTCAGGACAGAGGGGGCACGCCCCACCCCCACCCACGAGGTGCAGCAACAAGGCGGGCTCTGGCAGCAGAGCGCAGCTCCCAGGCCTTTCTCACCACCCCAGGCGGCCTCACTGCCTCTCTCAGAGGGGTCCAGGTCCGTGCATCCCCACCACCAGCCTCTCATAGACCCAGAAAATCTCACGCCCTCCGGGCTGGAAGGCTAACTCCAGGTGCCCAGCATGGGCCCTTGTGCGCCCTCCTTGCCTCAAGAATGGGGCTCCCAGCGTGCTCCTGCCTCATCTAGGCAACTGGCACCCCAAATCCAAATCCAAACTCCTGGCTCCCCCTCCACCAGACCAGCTCCCTGCTGTCCCTCCCACCTGGGGGGTTCTGACAGCATGGCTGCCTTCCACAGTGACGGCCGTGCCAGCCCCAAACCCTGGCCTCCCCTCCCCTACCCTGCAGTCCCCTGTGCAGCTACAGATCACCAATGAAGCCCAGACAGCCTCTGCAGTGCCTGGCGACCAGGAGCCACACAGAGCTGGGCGCTCCACAGGAGCAAAGGCAGCATGGAGTAGGCCCCACAGCGCCCCAGCAGGGCTGCAGCCCTGAGCCCCTCTGTGTGCCAAACCCCTGCCTGGGAGGTCAGCCCACCGTGGGCAGTTGCCAGGGGTTCTGTGCAGGGCACCGTGCTCCCTGAGCCGGAGTGCAGTTCCCAGCAGGCGAGCCCCAAGACGCTAACCAGCAGGGCGAAGAGCGAGCAGGCAAGTCCGGGGGACTCACCGGCTGCAATCCTGGCCGCCTTGGCGTAGTTGCCGTTCTCGATGCAGGAGATCAGCTCACTGCGGTCCTCCAGCGTGTGCCTTCGCACAAGGGCCGGCTTGCCCCGCCCACACTTGGGCACACTAAAGCTTCAGGAGGAAGAGCAGAGGGAGTCAGGTGGCCCACACGCCCCAGCTTCAGCCTCACTCGGGCTGCCCGCCGCCAAGCTGACCACGCATCCTGCCTGACAGCCCCTCGGCCAGGCGGGCCCGTGGGTGTGCAGGTCTGGAGGGAATGTGCCTGTGTGGCCGGGAGGGCTCAGGGGGCCATGCCTCACCCAGGTGCCAAGTGGCCTTCACAGGGCAGACAGGTAGCACTGTGCCCACTGCCAGACTCTGGGAGGAAAAGATCAAATGTAAACTGAACTGCAGATTCTAAAATTGTGTTTATATTTCACGTAGTGTTTTTCCTACTTCTGCTTGAATTATATACAGCAGAATGACAGGCAGCATGGGAAACTGCCCACAGGACACGATTTTTCAGAGGGCTAGGATGGGAGGCGCACTGTCCAGGTTTCCAGGACAGCCAGGTGGGGCGGGCAGTGCTGGGGGCTGCGTGGCGGGAAGCGAGGGCCGCGGTGCCCACCTCGAGTCACAGAGCGGGCTATTGCTGGAGGAGATGCTGGACTCAGAGGCGCAGCGTCGTCGGGGTGCGGCTTTCCTCCCCAGGCCGCCGCCCGGCTCCTGCTCGCTCCTCGCACCCCCAAAGCCGTTGGTGAGACCTGGAACACAGGCAGGCAGGCCCTGAGCTCAGCGCAAGCAGCACGTGCTCAAGCACAACTCAGCTCCACGACACTTGAGCACATCTTACAAAGAATGCTCCACAGAAGCAGCATCTTCCTTTTCACTCCCGAGTCCCTGAGTGTAGTCCTTACTAAGTAAACTCCAAAGTCACTCATTAAATGAAATGGACGGAGCCAGCTGCAGTCAGTTCCCATCACAGCAGTCTGTGGAACACCGTGAAGATGCTCCTCTTGACAAGCCGGTCCCTAACCGGCTCTGTGAGGGCAAAGAAAGGCTGCAGAGAGCCTGTGCACGGGAACAGACGTGCAGTCTGTCCACACGGGCACACATCGCGTCAGATGGCCCCTTCGCCAGGCCAGGGGGCCAGCAAGGACACAGAAAAGTGTTTACAGCAGCGGAGCTCCAGGGAATAGGAAATCAGGTTTGTTTGTTTTTTGGTTTTTTTTTTTTTTAAAAAAAGATGGGGTTTCACCATCATGGCCAGGCTGGTTTTGAACTCCTGACCTCAGATGATCCATCCACCTCGGCCTCCCAAAGTGCTAGGATTACAGGCATGAGCCACCGCGCCCGGCCGGAAATCAGGTTTTAAAAAGAAAAAACTCTTGGTTCAAAAGACAAGCATCAGCATGAACTCAAAAATGCCGACGGAACGCTAAGACAGAAAATCTGGGGTCCTCCCGTGTCTGAGCGGTGTCCGGCCTCCCCCACACGAAGCTGCCCAGTCACTGGCCTCCAAGTGCCCTAAACAGCTCACAATGCACAACTCCATTCTCTCAACGTTTGACAAGTGTTTCATCAAGGCAAATCTCAACATTTTCCTCCTAAAAATGCCCGACTTCATGTCAGTCAACGGGAAGCAACGCATCTGCTGGAGGCCCCTCCACCAAGCCCCCCATGGGAGTCACAATTCGGGGAGGATGTCCCATCCAGTGCACCCTCTGGGTGTGAGGCTTAAGGGGTGTGTGAATTTTTTTTTTCCAAAAAGAACCCCATTGTCCTGCCTACCTCATCCTTGAACTTTTTTTAAATCTATTTACAAAGGAAAACATGTAAATTTGTAAACAGAGCATTTCTTTAGAATTTTTTTTGGAAACCCAGGACGAAGTGCAGCCTCGACCTCCTCAGCTCAAGTGATCCTCCTGCCTTGGCCTCCTGAGTGGCTGAGAGACCAGTGTGAAAGGGAACGGCTGCACTGCGGGGATTCCACCTGCTTCATACACTTCCCATCTTCTCTCAAGGAGCGTGACTTTTACACAGAGGGGTCCAATCAACCTTGGTTGACAGTCCAGAAGGGAAAGCGCCCTGCTGCCCTCCGCAGACCCAAGTCAGACCCCGGATCCATCTCTGCAGGACGGGAACGTACCATGAGCTCCAAGGGAAGCTCTGTGCTTCTCATTTTAACCTCGGTCATTTTAAGGCCAGTGCAGGGTGTGATACTCATTTCTGGCAAGGGAACAAATGTAAGTACCTACAGGGGAAGGCCTTGAGCCACACGCTGAGCTGCCCCTGGGACTCCACATCCTCCCCACACTCATCACAGAGCGAGCTCAGGCCCTGAAGGTGTCTCCGGGACTCCACCCACCTCGCACCAGCAGTGGACAGATGGAGCCCAGTGCCCCTGCCAACATTCAGCCGCACAGGCCCAGGGAGGGGTCTGCCGATGGGTGTGAGCCATCTCCAGAGAGCAGCCACCAGCCTGGTGGCCCACACCCGATAACCAGGCCCCCAGTGCACTCCAGACTCCAAATGCAGGGTGGGCCTGCTCCAAGCTGAGCAGATGCAGATCAGGGCCTGGATGGGGAGGCTTTTAGCAGAGTTACTGGTCAGTCTCCACACTTGTGCCAGGCGCAGGGGCCGAGCAGCGGCCACCTGGGGGAAGACGATGACCCGTGCAGGTGGCCTTCACAAGAGCGCCTAGTGATGCCAGCCTGAGGGCCCCAGCTCCAGGAGCACCCACAGCCCCAACACAGGCAAGCCATGCAGGGCTGCTCACCAGCCTTAATGGCATGGTGTGGGGCCAGGAAGGGGATTAGAGTACAAGGCAAGTCCTCAATTCTCAGAAAGAGGAGAACGACATGTCCCCTCCTGAGTTTCCTAAACGTTCAGTGGGTGCACAGGCGGCAAGCTAGGTGCACACAGAGGTTCCGCGTGTTACCGTGAATATGTGACAGTGCCCAGGAAGATGTGGGCAGCACAGACAAACCCAGCCCAACTGAGACGCCGCCCAGCAGAAGGCCTGGTGGAGGCAGGACGGCAGGGTGGCCGCAGAGCCTGCTGACAGGCAGTCCAGGGGCTGTGGCAGTACAGTCACCCAAGAGGCCAGACCAGGCCACTGACACGGCCCAGGACACTCTGCAGCCACCGCCTGGAGTCCCCAGAGCCTCGGGGGAGCTGTGAGGTGGCCTGTGTGGCCCAGACCCTCCCAGTCTCCACCTGGGCCTCCAGAAAATAATCTATGACAGCCATGGTTCTGAGACCTCTCCACCTCAGCCCTGCCAGCTGGGAGATGACCACCATGACCCGCACCCTTGGCATCCTTGCAAGGACCTCAGCCAAGAACATTCTGAAGCCCAGGCTAGCCTTGAGGTGGGGCCCAACGTGAGGAGCCCAGGGCCTGAGGTGTGCAGAGATGGGTACCCGGTCCATGAGGCATCTGGAAACGCTGGCCTGGAGCCTCTAAATCATGTACACAGCAGGCAGCCACTTTCAGCTACTATTTCACAGGAGGTGTTTTTTTAATGCTGAATATAAAGCTGCTGGCTGTGACAAGCACTTTAAAAGAGGCAGCGGCTGCCAGGAAAGAGCCAGTACCCGCTCAACGCAGGAGCTGTACGGAATTCCCACGGCGGCCAGGGTCCGCCCCCACCCAAGGGGCCTTCCCGGTGACCTCCTAAGAGCCCAAAGAAAGACCAAACACAGAAATGTCCCTCTCTACCCCAAAAGGAGATGGCACAAAGGTATACCACAGCCCAGCCACGCATGGTCCATGGAAGCCTGCCTGTCACCAAGTGCGTCCATGGCACACCTCAACTGCTCCGGGAGGTCCCCAAAGGGTCTTCTGAGAGACTGCAGGCAACAGCAGCTGGGACACTACCCCCCACTAGAGGGGAGAGAAGCCCCGGGGTCCAGCTGGGGTGGCTGAGGCCTGAAAGTCTGACTGGCGGGTGGTAGTCCCCTCTGACCTTGGGCCTCCAGCCCTCAAACACACGTGGACACCACAAATCCTCTGAGCCACGGGTGCAAGAACACTGGACCCCGATCAGTGGCTGCCGAGACACCTGAGGGCAGGGACCCATGGGAACACATCCATGTGGCACGGGATACCCGCCCATGCCAGGCCCTGCCCACCACTGCCGCCAGCACCCACGATGCTGCCTCAGCTTCTCCAGTTCATGGGAAGCTTAGCCGTGTGAAGCAGGTGCGCTGAGCCTGCACCCTGAAGACCAGAGCCCTGAGGGCCCCATGCAGTCAAAAGGCTCCAGCATCCGCGCTGCCCAGAGGTGGAGAGCCCATCATCTTCAGCTCTTACTATTGATAAAAGAGCGTTTTTCAACCTCTCAATAGAAACGCAGACTGAAGATGATTCCACTTCCACCTGTTCTTGCTGGGACCAGCTCTGTGACAATGCGGCTGGGGACGGTCGCAGACAGACCCGAGGCCCAGGCTAGATGCCAGCACAAGATCCCGGCTGCGGATGCCCCACCCCACGAGCAGGACTTCTCAGGTGGCCGCAGGAGCACTCAACGTGTCAGTGCTGCTCAAGAATCCACTGGGGATTGTGGGGAGAAAACAGAGGAAAGGGAAGGGGAGAGGAAACCCAGAAATGCAGAAGATGCGAGCGAGTGAGCGAGCACACACCGCTCATGCCACATACTCAGACGGCGCCGAGCCAAGCTCCTCCACACCCCACGGCGCCGACACAGCACAACGCGCGCGGGCACGGCTGCTGCACCCACACCACCGGTCACTACGGGACAGCTCTGCACATGCTCAGGACGGGCCTGGAACACTGTCCAACTGTGTCGTCAGCTGCGGCGGGCTCTCCTCTGCGTCCTTCCTGACTGTCCAGAGGGAAGGCTGAGGCACCGCGACATCCCGCCAGCTCCAGGCGTGCACCAGGCGCCAGCACCATTCCCACTGCCGGGCTCTGACTTACAGAGGGGTGGGCTGGGTGGGGGCAGGGAGCCCCTCCAAGGGCTGCTGTTTGTGTTTTTGTTTAGAGGATGTTTGAACTGATGATTCCAATGTGATCCACAAGAATTAAGTGAAAGGCAAGATGCAGGGATCTTTGTGCATTCCAAAACGGCCGCTTAGCAGAACTCCAGTCCAAGTTGAGGTAAGAGAAAATGATTAGGATCCAAAGAGTGAACTACCCAGCACATTAGTGGTTAAAGTGAGAACCTGGAAAACAGTGAAAAAGCCATTTAGTCTGAATGAAAGGGCAGAACAGCTCAGCCTCCTCCCTGAACAGCCAAAGGACACCAAGGACACCCTCGCGCTCTCACGCCCCGGCACGTGCACAGGGAGACTCTCGAGGCAGGGAACAGCAGCAAGCGTCAAACCACTTCAGGCCGGAGGGTTCTCGGCTGGCGAGCGCAGTCGCGGAGGAAGGAAGCCACCAGCCAGGGCCAGCCTCTGGGGCTGGGCCATCGTGGGAGCAGAGGCCTGGCACGCAGCACAGTTGGCAGACAGCCCCCAGCAAGTGTGTCGCCTCAGGACCAGTGACCCTGCTTGGGGTCAGCCTAACTTGGATTCGTGCTGTGCTGGAGAAATGTCAGAGCGCTCCCGGAAGTTCAGAGCACACAGATGAATGTTTGGAAAACATCAGAAGGTTCCAAATAATTTCTGTCCTAAGACTGCGAAGAACTGCAGCGCGGAGCAAGAAATCCCCCCCGTGCAGAGCACCAGAAGCCTCCGGGGAAGCCCAAGAGAGGACGGACGGCGGGACTGGCACCGTTCAGAGCACACCCAGCCCTCCCCGGTGCCTCAGCTGCAGCAGTGGAACGCCTCACATTCCCAAGGGTCTCATCTTAACGCTGCTGAGGCTCCCGGCTGCTCAGGGGAGAGCTCAGGAACTCACCAGCCTCCATAGAAATCCACTGCCACTCGGGAATGAGAGAGAACTCCACTTCAGTCAGGATCAGGGGGCACCATGGTTCTCAAAATCCACATGGATGGGAAGGTGCAAAATCCACCATGATCAGGGAAGGTCTGCTCTATGCCCACTGTCACCACGGGAAACGGCAAAGCACTCCACTCCAATGTGGGACAGTGGCACACAGGGCACACATGGTCTTCTACAAGAGACATCTCATGAGCAAGCCTGAGAGGCTGCTGAGGACGTGGCTGCCAGCCAGCAAAACTGTCCACACTGGGAGCCCGCGGCTCGGGCAGGGCCCAGTCAGGTGGGGCCACCTGGTAGAAGCCACCACACAAGCCTCCTGAGTGAGGAGGGGAGGCCGCCATGCACAGAGCCCCACACCTCTGCCGCCAACAGACGTGAAAGCCCGAGGAAGTGGAGTGTTGGCTGAGCCCCAGGTTCTGCGTGGAGGGGATGCCCGTGACTGCACCCAACCACCCTGTAGTACCCTGCGCCAGCGCACCTGCTTGCTGGCAAGGGAGGGAAGCTCCTGGTCTCTGCTCTCCTCCCCGACAGGCACTGCAGGCCAGAGAGCTGCAGAGCAAGCAGGGATGTGGAGTGAGGGAGTGGCCTGGCAGGCCTCGCCCACCACAGCCTTCCATTTTGCACCTGGCCCGCAAGGCTCCACAACACAGGACTCACTCGCCGCCAGAGTGCATGAGAAACCACCGCACACCAGCACTGCCAGAAGAAAACGTGCTTCTCCTTATCTAGGTGTAACTGACAGGAACTGAACCTTGACTCGGGACAAAAACCACAAGGACGGACAGGCTCCAAACACGGTTCCGGAAAGGCAACACTGGAGAGCTGCCCCGGCACCTCCCAGAGCACAGCCGGTTCTCAACCAGCAAACCCGCGACAGTCACTCCTCTTTCAAGGACATAAAACACTCTTTGGCTTCCTGTGAGGGGCACAGCAGCCTCCCCAAAGTGCTCTTGGCACAGCACACACGAACGCCCTGGCCGAGGAATTCCACAGAGTGCGGTTACAACAGTACAGCAAGTGATGAGAAGCACCGCATGCTCTTTCGGAGGCCCTCACGCCTCATCCGTGTGCGGCCAGCATGGCTACAAATCACCTGCCAAGTGCTGCATTTCCCTCCCATGAGCGCCGATCCTCTCAGAGGCCCAGGGAAGGGCCAGGCACAACGCTGACGTCCGAGGTCTGCGGTCTGCGGGGCAGCAGGACCTGATGAGGGCTGCAGAGTGGAGCTCCCATGGGTGCCAGGAGCGGCCACTCACCAGCTTACCCAGATGTGCAAAGTCAGACTGTCAACTAAACCTGCACCTGGCCATTCCCACTCCCCTTTTAAGTATCAGAAGGGGCCGGGTGCAGTGGCTCACACACCTAATCCCAACACTTCGGAAGACAGAGGCGATGCGTTCAAAGGCAGCCGGGACAACATAGAGAGACCCCATCTCTACCAAAACTTCTAAAATTAGCCAGGCATGGTGGTGTGCACCTGTAGTCCCGGCTACACAGGAGGCTGAGGCAGGAGGATCACTTGAGCCCAGGAGCTGGAGGCTGCAGTGAGCCACTCACTTCAGCCTGGGTGACAGGGCAAGACCCTGTCTCTTTAAAAAAAAATCAAGAGGAAGTAGGTGGCAGAAGAGAGGACCCAGGACCATCGACCCCCTCCCAACCCAGGGCAGCCCAGCAAGGCTGCAAACCTCTCATGGCAGACAGGCCCCCTCCATGAGGGCGCTGGCCTCAGACCCGCAATTCAAGGCTTCTGAAAGAAAAAACTGCACTGTTGGCTTCTCTGGACATAAAGGGAATGCTGCAAACCCCCGCGTCACACCAAGGATCCTGGAGGACGATGCTCCCGGCACCGGTCGGCAAGGGGCCTCTCAGGGCCGCCCGTGGCATTTACCTGCATCCAGGCGCTTTCCCGGGGACTCCTCCTCCACCTCGGAGTCTCCGCATGTGCTCCGCGACCTTTTCCGTGGCTGCAGAAGAGTCTCCAACCTCGGAAGGACTACAGACAAAAAGGTTTTGGTCCCTAGCTGAGGAGAAGTTGGCTGGGTTTCAGTGTTCTTGGCAGACTTTGGGGGGCTTACACTTTTCGATTTGCAGAAGAGAACAGAAGTGCGTCTGTTTACATCGCTTGCTGGCTCCGCCACCGCGGAGGCCGCCGCCGCCGGCACATCGCCACTACTGGCGCGGGTGGGCTCTGGAGGGCGTCCGCTTACCAGTGCGCTCTGAGTGCAAGTGCTATGTGATTCATTATCAAATGTGACTCTTTTGAAAAGTTTACTCTGCTCTGGGTTGAGTTCTACTGGTTTGAGGGTTGGTGGTTCTGAATTACGCTCCGAGTCTGAAGGAAGAGGTAATGCATCTGGTGGTTCAAGCTTAGGGGGAGATTTATCTCCTGAAAGAATTATAAATAAAGTGATTTTTGAAAACTGAAGATTATAAAATCTTTTATAAAACTTACTATAAATGTGAAGTCCACCAAAACACTAATTCAGTTAAGGAAATAACGCATCGCTCGTGCCGTCTGCGCCCGGCGTGGGCCCGTGGGCTCAGGCCACAGTGTGTGCTTCCCTAACGCCAGAGGCTGCGGCCCCGGTGCAGTGCCCAGGTGCACACCGACTCTCTGAAGGATGATTCCACATGAGCCCACAGTAAACACATCAATCGGGTTCACGACAGTTTCTGCAGTCAACAATTCACTTACCTTGAGAAGGAAAAGGGTCTCACATAACTAAAGGGGCCTGAACGTGGCACTCCCACAGGGCTCTACTGGCCACAAGGTTAGCAAGTAAAAGGAAACAGACATTAAATCTCATCTCTGGTCAGGGTCTTCCAAGTCAAAAATGCAAAAAACAAACCAAAAACCAGAGTTGTGAATGACTGTGAACGGTTCTCAAGAAAAGCAGGGAAAAATCCCCACTCACCTCAGCACACAGAAGTCCATGCCACGCTCCCAAATACTGTGCTGGGAGCTTTAAAAAAATAATAAAAGAAAAAGTCTTTGGAAAAAGGCTACTTTAACCTCTTTTTAAAGTCTTTTTGAAACTATAAAAGCAAGAAGTCTGAAATGCTATGGCGCCGAGGTCGGGGGACGGCCTGGCGCTGCTCTGAGGGGCTCTGCGCACTGCCCCAAGTCCCGGGGGCCGAACAGGCTCTGGCACAAGGCTGACGGGGCGAGGCGATGCCGCACCAGGCCCAGCCACCGAGGCTTCTTTCCAAGCGGGACCGGTGCTGACAACAGGAAGCGACATCAAACCAAGAGCAACACTTTGCATTATCACTGGGTACAGTTTTCAGTTCATTTCCGCAAACTTTCCTAAAACCACCTGAAGTATGTATGGTTAATACCAAAAACTCATTTTGAAAATAAAAACTACACAACTTAACAAGACTCAGAGCAAAGTTTTGAGACTGGCAGAAAAAAGCTTTCCCCAAGACTGGGCCCATGACTCTGGGCAGCAGTGCTTCCGGCTGCAAGGTGCCTCTGATTCCAAACACACCCAGTGCCTTAGAGCACCTCACAGCTGATTCAAACATGGGGGAAGCCTCCCTTGCAGCCGGGAGCACAGCCTTGGGGAGGCAGGGGCCAAAAACTCCTCCCCTTCCTGTCAGGGTGGCCAACGGGCTTGAGAAAATGGCTGTAAAACTCCAGGGAACGCTGGCCGAGAGGACTGGGCCATGCAGAGAAGGGCTGCAGAGGGGCTTCCTGTTCATAAGCACGCCCTGCTCCAGCGTCCCTAGTGCCTGTGCAGCAGCAGGAGGGGCTTCAGCACTGAGCCTGTGCGTCCTGGTGTGGCTGCTATCTGGCGGTCCTGGTGCAGCTGGTGTCTGGGGGCACACGGCCTGGCACCTCACCTCACTTCCTGCCTCCTCTTCCACCTCCTGGCCTCCCCATTCGTTCTCCCCCCGATCATGATATTCAACTGCTCGCTGCAAGCAGCCAAGGCCACTGGTCAACCCGTCTTGGTCTCTGTGGGTGCAACAGCACCAGGCCAGCAGATGGAGCCTGAAGGAGCCTCCTCCCAGCACCTCTGAGGGACCCCCATCTCCAGCCCACCGCCTCCACAGCTATCTAAGGGGCACCGCAGACCCCCATCTGCTTCCGGCGCAACCATCAGAAACACCACTCCTGGCCGGCAGCATCCCCACGACGTACAGACATCCCTGCCTTGCAGCGGGCCCTCCCCGACCATGGTCCACACCCCCTCACCTCCAGCTCTCGGCCCAGCTAGGACGTCCCATGTGGGACGCATAACCATCTCCACGCTGCAGGGTCCTCACCATCCCGTGGCCTATCCCAAAGCGGACCCCCGTGGCCCTGCCTCACTGCAGCCCCTCCTCGGGCCAGCCAGGCTCCAGCCACCAGCACGGGGTATGGGACGTGCTCCCGCAGCACCGGCCAGAGGCACAGAGGAGGCCGTGGCCAAGAACAGAGGCTGCTGATGTCTGGATGCACCGCCACCTCCCCCCGCCGGGCCCCACAGGCCCCTGGACCACTCGGTGCCCTAGTATCCTCAACCATAAAATGAGAAAAAACAGGACCTAAGCCCCCAGGCTGCACTGGCAGAACAGGCAAGCCCAACCCATCCCTCGAGTGGAAATCTGACTGGAAGTTCACATACAAGAGTGAAAACTGAAAGCTCGCTGGCTGCTGGCCATCTCGGGCTGTCACTGAACTGCCTGTGAGAAAAGCTCAGAACACGCCCGATACCACTCGGGCATGACTCGCAGACGCTGTCAATGTCTCAGGATCCTAGAATCCCAGCCCCTGGAACCTGTCCATATTCTAAACGGCAAAATGGCTATCTAATCCAAACCAGCTACTCTAAGACGTTCAAAGACCTAGTTAAGTCTGCAAGAGCAATTCTGAAGTATTTCGCCCACGTGGCCACCCACCCTGTCAATCAAAGCTTCTGTACCGAAGCCACAAGACGCTTTGGAAAATCACAGCATGCTGACATTCGCTCACGAGCACAAACCACACTGTCCCTCCACCGACCCTGCCTCGAGCCTCCATCCTTGGCAATCCTGAAGGGACAAAGCCGCATACACCGCACCTTCTACCCTGAGGGACACACATCCCTTCCTGAGCGCCACACACTCCACGTGGCCAGCACCCATGTACAGCAGGAGGGTCTCCACGTGTGCACATCAAGGCCCACGGCTGCCCTGGACTAAAGGGGATGCCCGGAGCCTCTGGCAAGGGCATTACCATGACTGGACATTCCAAGTACTTAAAATGCTCCTCCCACAGCCAGCCACCTGCACTGCCCTGCCTCACTGTGTCAGCAGACACCCACCTCAGCCAGGGTGACCAGCCCCTGCGAGCTGCAGGTCCATCCCCCAGGCTCATCAGACACTCAAATCCCAGCTGTGGCGTGGCCGCCACCCAGCTGACCTGCAGCCCTGGGAAGTCAGCCCTGGCGGGGCCGGCTCACAGCAACAGCCTGAACCTCTGCGCCCAGCATACTTAGTCACGGCCACAGCGGAGCCTGTAGGAGCGCCTGTGCAAGGGGACAGAACAGGGTCAACCTCACAGCCCAGGGGGCGCCTCCCTCCTTCAGACACGAGAGTCTCAGGGGCCTGGCACCCAACGGCTACAGCCTTGTCCAAGCGGCTCCAAACGGAAGCAATATAAACGTTCCATACGTATCATTAAACTACGATTTAAGTGAGACTGCATATTTGCCAGTGAGGAGTTACTATCTTTTTCAGGTATGAAAATATTGTGGATATATCTAAAAAATGACGGAGAGGCTTTACCGATTAGAACATGCTGGATGTTTAAATATCTGAGTCTTGGTTTCCGTCCTCTTCCAAGTATCATGAGTTCACATGTCTATACCAACTAACGAGCATGCTTTTGGCCGCCTTTCCCACATCTGACTTCCCCGTTCCAGTCTGGCGCTCAGCTCCCCCAGAGACCCCCTTCTTCTCTGACGAGCAGGACCCTGCCAGCCACGCCACGCCTCACCTTCAAGTGGACTTTCAGGCTGCTTGCTTTTGCCCACCCACCTTTCCCATCAGCTCCCAGGAAACGCTCTTTTCATGAATTTCATCACTGAAAACATCAGGTGTAACAGGTGATTCCCAGCCACCTGTGTCTCAATCACACTGTGTGTGTTGTCTTTACACCAGAAAAAAAAAATAAAAATAAAATTACCCCAGACCTAGAAAGCAACAAAAATGGTCTCCAAGGGCTCCTGCTAAGCGCTGGGGGGTGTGAGGAGCCATTCTCACTGCAGGGGAGGGCCAAGAAGCTCCACTGTGCAGGGTCCTCAGCTGTGCGACCCAGTGGCAGTGGAGGAAGCCACTAATAAAAATCTAAAAAGGTAACGTACTGCTCCACGGTGGACACGGTACGACCATGGGGGCAGAGAAGCGCCAGAAGCTATTCTGAGAACGGTGAGTGCACCGACTGGCAACTTCCGTGAGGTTGGGTCATGAGACTCAGTCCTCGGGCACAGAAGACAAAGACGGAAGGGCAGTCCACCCAGAGGGAGGCCCACACAGCCAGCGGACGCCTCAGCGGGCTGCATGAAAGCAACGGCCACAGGACCAGGCAACAGCACCAGCCTGGACTCCTCAGCACGACGGGGCAGCACAGGGCCCAGACAGGTGTGGCTGCCATAGGGTCCTATGGGCAAACGTTCCCCAGAAAAAACACAAGGCCCCCAAAGCAGAGGAGGGATCATGTGCTAACACTAACAGCCTCTGAGAGGACAGAAAAGACTTTATTCTATGGACCTAACATAACTGACACCAGCCCCAAAGAGACATTCGAGAGTCTGGGTGCTACACTGTAGTGAACAAATGGAAGAACCCGAAAACAGAAAGAAAAACGGGCACAGAATGCGGACCAGGATGCGTAAGAAATCCTCAGCCGTGTGCACAGGAGTAAGCTTCCGAGAGAAAGAAAAGCTCGATGGCTCTCAGCCAAGCTGCCCAGTGCCAAGCAGGACGGAAGGGGCGAAGCTGTGCGGACAGCGAGCCACAGGAAGCTCGGGATGAAAAGGGCCCTGAGACCATGGGGCCCGCCGGCCCGTGTGGCATCCAACGTGAAGACACTGCGTCACTCAGCACAGACGTCATAAGAGATGAACATCTTTGTTTCAGAAAAAGAAAGAAAACTGTAGCACAATTCTGTCTTACTTGCATGTGCAGGAGAAAGGCAGGAAGGCCACGGAGCAGCCGCTAACACTGCGGCGAGAGGGTCTACCCTACTGTCTGCTCTGTGTAACGGAGGCATGTTAAGGGCAACTGCAGAAACAGGGCCAAACACAGTGGCTGTGACTTTCTCCCAACAGCTCCAAAACCTTCGTTTCAAAATTCCCCCTTTGACCAAATAAGAAACACGCCAGTTCTACCTCCTCACCCTGCCAACCTAGATGGTACACAAACCATCGCTCCTAAGCGCCCTCCTCACCACCCCAAGCCTACATCTGCTCTGGGTTTTGCCAGTTCTCCTACCGGATAGACGGCATTCCCAGTCATAAAAACATCTTTGCTGCCTGGACCTTTCCCCAGACGTTCACAGCAGGCTGCCACCTCCCAACTGCTGCAAAGGAGCTGGCCTGGTACCCTCAGGGCAGATGAGGCCTCCTCAAGGCCCTCAGTTACTGTCCCGCCCTTCACAAAATCAGGGAGGAGCGTTTCAGTGATAAGAATCTAACACAGCCCTTTCAAAATGCTGCTGTTGATGACCTAGCACATAATTCAAATACAACAAAAACATTTCTTACTCTTTCGTTCAAGCTACCTTCACTTTTCAACATAGTGTAAGATCTAAACCATTCTTTCCAAATAGTTGTTCAGGCCCGAGTTAAGAGAAAAATTTTATTCTGTGCCTTAAATTTTATCAACTAATTTATGTGAAAAAACAGACGGCACAAATTATAAAGTCTCTTTAGAAGGAAACAACCGTTCACGGTGACTCAGGCCTGTCATCCCAGCACTTTGGGAGGCTGAGGCAGGGGAATCACTTGAACCCAGGAGGTAGAGGTTGCGGTGAGCTGAGAATACGCTACCGCATCCAGCCTGGCAAGAGAGCAAGACTCTGTCTCAAAACCAAAAACAAAACGAAATCACCACCCCGTGGCAGTGTCAAGTATTCAAGGCTTTGTGAATTTTGCGGAACTGGCGAAAACCGAGCCTGTGCCCAGGCCTGATGGCAGGAAAGCGGGGCAGCCCTCACCACAGCTCACCTTCGTCGCCCGCCTCCAGCCCCAGCGGAGCTCCATCCTCTTCGAGGCGCTCAGGGCCCGGCCCCACGGGCGGGGGCTGGCTGTGCTGCTGGCTCAGCTTGTTCCGGAGAAGGGCAATTTCCTTTCTGAGCAGCTTTGCCCGCTTGCTCCGGGAGCCACTGGACTTCATAGCACAGGTGAGGTCCAGAGTGTCCAGCAGCTCTCTCAGCTGCTCCTCCAGGCCCAGGTGGGCTCTGTTGGCGGGGTCCAGCAACCTGTCCACTGAAGCAAAGGACACATGCTATCAGTCACCAGACCCCACACAGCTTCTGGGAATACATCACCAGTCCCATCTTTCCAATAACCTTTGGCCAAAGCCCCAAGAGTGGCTGCTGGCAACGAGGCCCTCCCCTGCGCTCTGAACCCACGACGGCACTGTTGCCACAGAACACACCGGGATGCTCGTGACAGAGAACTTCTAGTCCCACGACATGTCGCCACAGAAGGGGCCACATCCAGGTAACACCACAACCTCTCCTGGACCAAGACCCACTGACACTCCCTAGGCAGACGGCCCGACTGCCTGAGCCCAGGCACAGCACACGGACCCCAGAGAGAGGCGCATGCTCCATAGCCCAGCACAACGCGTGGGACCTGCGCTGATTCTGCAGACAGAGGCCACGGCCGGCAAATGTTAACTGACTGAGGCCACTGCACATCCTGAGTGCTGTCTTAGCTGAAGACCATTGTGTGGTTTTATTAAATGGGTTGTAAAATTCGCAGATCATTCCAAATTTCAGGCCTATTTACTACAAAGTCCCTAGAAACGTCACGTTTAGAAACACCAAAATGTATAAAGCACATATTACCTTAAATAAGAGATGGCCAAGAAAAGAAAATGCTCCTCAGAGCTATCTGAAGGTAAAACCAGAGCCAGGAAGAGAGAAGGCAAGAAACACAGTAAGGCTGTCCAGAGACACACGAATCTCTGTCTAGAAACAGGGTTTTACTGAATAAAGAATAGTAGAGAGAAACAAAACACCTACATCAAAACAGTCTCTGTCAAGACTTGTATCCCTAACATCATTCTGAACAAATGTCACAGATAATATTCAAAAATATACAAAAACATCATGTCCTTTGAAACCCCAAGAAGAAAGCCTCGAAACCTCCGCTTCTTTTTAAACAGAGACCCACGGCCTCCAGGTCTGTGGCTCGGGCTCCAGGCAGTGGGAGGTGTCAGCTGCACTAAGAGCAGCAGGTGTACCCTCAAGGCACACCTTGGCCAATGGCTCAGCTGTGCACTCCCAGATACTGAGAAAGAAACTAGCACTTGTCATCCTTAAATTTCTCCTTAACAAGAAACCCCGAGTGTAGAAATTCACTTAATGAACATGATCTGAAAGGCACCGACACTCAGAGGCCTCTACACCGGCTCCATTGGGTGTAGGAGAGCAGAGGAGCAGAGCCCACTGGGCAAAGAACACTCCAGGCTGCTCCAGCGACAGGGAGCCCAGATGTGATGCATCTTCCTGCTTTTAAGGGCAAGCAACCAGCCTGCACCCTGAGCTGCCAGCACCACGCACCAGGTGGGCATCTGAGAGCTGATGCAGGCAAGGAGTCCAAGAGAGTGAAGACTGTCAGGGGTGGGGGAAGCTTTTCCCGAAGTCACCAGAGGCTAGAGAAGGACATTCCAAGACAGGCATAAGCCCCTGAAGCCCTGGGCTCACTCTGAGGTGGCTCAGCCCCAGCTCCTCTCAAATCCCCAAGGGAATGTTTCAGAAAAGGAGAGCTGACCTGACAGGCCTGGAGAGCACAGCTTCAGGGAGGGGTTAAAGCTCCACCCAGGGTTCACCAAGCTCGTATTTTCCAAATTTCTCCAAGAAAAACGTGTTATTCTTAAAATCAGAAAACTGGAGACATAAAATATATTCCCATTCTTTTTTCTTTTCTCTTGGAGACAGGGTCTCACTCTGTCGTGCAGGCTGGAGTGCAGTGGCACAATTTCTGCTCACTGCAGCCTCCACCTCCCGGGTTCAAGTGATTCTCCTGCCTCAGCCTCCCAAGTACCTGGGATTACAGACAGGCGCCAGCCACCACGCTCGGCTAATTTTTTGTATTTGTAGTAGAGACGGTGTTTCCCCATGTTGGCCAGGCTGGTCTCAATCTCCCAACCTTAAGTGATCCGCCCACCTTGGCCTCCCTAAGTGTTGGGAATACAGGAACCACCGCACCTGCCCCTACTCCCATTCTTCCAAGGAGAGTACGGCCCATCTCCAACCCCACAGGAAGCAGGGAGCCCAGTGCTACTGCCATAAGGGGAACAGAGGGCAAGGTGGTGATGGTCCAGCTTGGCTGAACTCCACGATGGCGGGAACATGGAGGAGGAAGAGGGCCAGGCCTCACCACAGAAGAACCAACCTGGCGCAGGTCAGTGATTCACCTGGAGAAAGCGTAGGCCAAGAAATCAGGGATATGGGAAGTTCAGATAAATGAACCAAACACTCCGTGACTTCTGCTCAGTTTGTGGTTCAGAGCTGGAGCTCCCAGGTGCTCCAGCAACCCCTCTGAGCAGGACACACCCTTCAGCAGACAATCCCAGAGGCAGGGTGCTGGGGACAGCCCTGGTTCCGAAGGACCGGTCTAGAGAAGGGTGCAGGTGAGTGAGTGCTCACAGCCGCAGCACGTGCCTGGGCAACCGAGAAGCGCCGGCCCAGGCTGGAGTTCAGGCGGGCCACAGACACGGTCCCAGAGCCCTTTCTGCAACACGCGCAAACCACGAGGCCAAAGGGTCGGAAGCGAAGCCAGAGTTCCTCCCGCTCCAGCCACCCTCGGAAGCTGCCTGAGGCCTACTCGGGATGCACACCGCAACTAAGCTGCTTTCTGGATCTGCATCACTGAGGCTGAGCCGGAGGGAGCCACAGCCACAGGGGTCCTCTTGGTGGACACCCAAAACACAGCCGGTCTGAAGTAAGAGGTGCTGGGTATAAAATACACATCAGATGGCAGAGAGAGTGAAAAGCTCGTATATCCTCAGTAATGTTCACACTGACTCCATGTTGAAACCAATTCTTTCACCTGCTTTTCCATTTTGCAGTGAGGCTACTAGGAAATGTAAATGGTGTGTGTGGCTGCACGCTACTCCTCCTGGGCCACTCCTCCTGGGCCACGCTGAGGTGGAGCTGGTAACACAAGGCAGGGAGTCTGCTAGGAAGAGCGACTTCCAGCTCCTCTGGACACGGCGCCAGTTCTTACCATCTTCCCAGGAGAAAGGCCGCCGGGACACCGCAGCAGGCCGCTCAGGCAGGTGCATCCCCGAGGCCTCTTCTAAGCCGATGCTGTCCACCTCACGCCGGGCCTGCCTCAGAACAACACCTCCCTGATCGCGCAGCCGCACCGCGGCTCTATAGAACACGGTGTCCCTGGCATTGTACTTCATGCAGTTAGCTATAATGAGATCAAAATCCTCCTCAAACTCATGGAGGTTTTTATACCCTTGAGCTTCTAACCGTTTTCTCATTGTGGCAAAGTCCATGGGATGTTTAATGTGATCCAAATAATCTGGGACCTAATTTTAGGGAGAAAAAGAATCATTTACAAACTAAAACAGGATGTTAGTTTATTCTTTATTTATTATTCCATGCAACCCACAAACCCACGGTATCTGAGAGCCACACGCACACATGCTCATGGTACAGACACAGGATCCAAGTCCTGCAGGGACCTTCCTGACCCAGCTCGTCTAGCTACAGGCGGCTGGGTGCCACCACAGCTCAGGGGACTGTCTGCATGGGGCCTCTCACCCACTGCACTACCAATATTTTACAATGAAATGCACCACTTTTAAAATTTAAAAATATCTTTGTGTATTTTTTTGCAGGTAAAAAAAAATTAAAAAAAAAAAGCACAGTAAAATAAAATGAGAATTAAGAACTTGAGGGGCATACTCGAGGCAGTCACACATTTACCAGTCACACAGCAGCACAAATCCACAGTCCCACATGCCACAGGACACACAAGCGCCGCAGAAACCCACCTCCTTCAGACTCACGGGCTGCGCGAAGATCCTGGCGGGGTCCTTATCCTGCAGCTGGTCCAGCACCGAGCGCAGCAGCACCGTCAGCGGAGTCAGCCGCAGCTCCATGGCCACCTGCTCCACCTTCACCTGGGGGGCCCAGCAGAGCCTCAGCTTTAGGGAGCCCCACAGCCTCAGACCACCACGCGCCCCACAGCTGCGAGCAGCTCCCACAGGCCCCCTGACTTCCATCAAGGAACACGTCAATGCAGTCTTCACTTAGGCCCCTGCACCACGGCAGGCAGGTACCTAACCTGGGCTGAGCGAGGCGCTGCCGTGGGCCAGAACCCACAGGGTGCAGCCCACACTCTGCAGCAGCTGCCAGCATCGCCCACCCCATATGGCCAGCGGTGCACTCCATGCGGGACGGGGCCGGGCCCCACCTGCTCACGCTTGAGCTTCTCCCGCTTGCGAAGCAGCTCGATCAGCAGGCGGGCTCGCTCCAGGTCGTGCCGCAGCCGCTGCCAGTACTTCAGCTTCTCTTTGGCAGCCTTCATCTCCTCATCGTTTTCTCTCTGAGAACAGTGAACGCTTCCGTCAGTCAAACCCAGAGGCTCCTCCTGCAAAAGGCCTCAGATACCACGCAGGTTAAGACCCCAGGAGGCATCCACAGCACAGGTCCTCAGATACCACGCAGGTTAAGACCCCAGGAGGCATCCACAGCACAGGTCCTCAGATACCACGCAGGTTAAGACCCCAGGAGGCATCCACAGCACAGGTCCTCAGATACCACGCAGGTTAAGACCCCAGGAGGCATCCACAGCACAGGTCCTCAGATACCACGCAGGTTAAGACCCCAGGAGGCATCCACAGCACAGGTCCTCAGATACCACGCAGGTTAAGACCCCAGGAGGCATCCACAGCACAGGTCCTCAGATACCACGCAGGTTAAGACCCCAGGAGGCATCCACAGCACAGGTCCTCAGATACCACGCAGGTTAAGACCCCAGGAGGCATCCACAGCACAGGTCCTCAGATACCATGCAGGTTAAGACCCCAGGAGGCATCCACAGCACAGGTCCTCAGATACCATGCAGGTTAAGACCCCAGGAGGTATCCACAGCACAGGTCCTCAGATACCATGCAGGTTAAGACCCCAGGAGGTATCCACAGCACAGGTCCTCAGATACCACGCAGGTTAAGACCCCAGGAGGCATCCACAGCACAGGCCCTGTAGGCCCATCACAGAGAGGACAACAGATCCACCCTCACTAGAGAGCCCCTGTGACAGCGCTAGGACAAAGGGGATGGAGGGGACGACCAGGCCACAGGGAGCAGGGAGCTGGCTCCTGTGCACAGGTTCTGCCCTCCAGAGGACAGAGGTCTCTACAAGCTGGCAGGGAGGGGCCTTCCCAGAACCAGAAAGGCCCACAGAGGTGGGGCCAGGATAGAACAGGGGGCCCTCGATGACTCACCTCCAGGACAGCTGGCAATGGAGGGAGCAGCCAGGAAGAAACCAGATGCACAGAAAACATGCTGGGCCCATCCTTCCCGGATGGAGCAGGCCAGGGGCCTGGTACATGGCCCACCTGCTGCCCTGCCCTACACAGTGAGTGCCTCCATCCTGACACACGTCCCCCCACAGCCGTCCCCATCGACAGCACCTGCTCCTTTCTCAGTGGACGGAAGGATGTGCCAGACAGCACAGGCTGCCAGCCTCACCCCCAGCCCACAACCACAGCACGGTGATGGAAAGAAATCCAGAGCCCTACGAAGGCCACGACATAGGCAGGCGCAGGAGAGAAGGCTGCCTGCCTGGGTCTGCCCTCAGCCCTGTCCTCACCGTGTCCCCAGGCCTGGCCACATGGGACCTGCTCGTCACAGTGCCAGGGGCACCCTGACCCTACCTCAAAGCGGAGAGGAAGTAACAAGTGCGTGGGCCTGAGTGGGCCCCCGATGCCTATTGTCCTCTAGAGCTGCAGGACACACATGTCCCGACAGCGGTTTCAGGCACATGCTAGCCCTGAGACCCTCCTCTCCCCCGACGCCTCTGTCCCCTGGTTCCCACCCGCCCACCTCAGGGTGCCATCACAGCTTTTTAAAGGACTGAGAGTGTGAAGGCAAAGACTGGTGGACTACAAGATGCCAGACCCCGGACTCCAAACTGCTCACAAAGGGAGGCTCAAGGAGGGAGGCAAGGCCTCTCCATGGCAAGGGAGAGCAGAGCTGGCACCCCCAACCCCGCCCGCCAGTGAGGCTCTCTTGGTTTTCCTCAGTGTTGCTCAACACCCTCAGGCACGAAGTCGAGGCTAACAGTAACAAGGCCCACATCAACTCAAGCAAAGGCCAAAAAACCGGGCTCCAAAACCCTAGGTCCCGGAGCCTCTGCACATTGCCTGTCCCTCAACGTGCAATCAACACATCCAAACACTCCAGCCACAAGGACATTTGGCCTGGGAATCTATTATGAAGCGGGAGCAATCTCATCACCAGCAAGCCCTGTGTCACACAGTGGCTGCTAAGCAAACTTACTATCTGCTCCCCAGGCTGATTTAATAAGAAACGCCACCGGAAGGCAGGGGCCTCCAACGGCACGTGGACCCTGAGCCCAGCCGGCCTCTGTATGCAACGACTTGGCCAGCAAAGGTCCCATGACACACACAGCCTCATCCACTCAGAAGGACCGAGGTTCCTCACTCAGCTCTAAAGTGGCTGGTATTTCCCATGTAAGAATCAACATTGGAGCCGAGCGCGGTGGCTCACGCCTGTAATCCCAGCACTTTCAGAGGCCGAGGTGGGTGGATCACGAGGTCAAGAGATCGAGACCATCCTGGTCAACATGGTGAAACCCCGTCTCTACTAAAAATACAAAAAATTAGCTGGGCATGGTGGCGTGTGCCTGTAATCCCAGCTACTCAGGAGGCTGAGGCAAGAGAATTGCCTGATCCCAGGAGGCGGAGGTTGCAGTGAGCCGAGATCGCTCCATTGCACTCCAGCCTGGGTGACAAGAGCGAAACTCCATCTCAAAAAAAAAAAAGAATCAACATCGGAAGGCTCCACGAGGTAGGACAGAAGCGAAGGAGGAGAACTCAGGGATCCCCACTGCCAGCGAGAAGCACCAAGAGCCTCTGGGTCCATTCTAGACACATGGGGGAGACAAAGGGCAGGGCTGGGGGACCGTGACGACCAGCTGGGTCGGGTTAAAATCCCCTCTTCGGGGAAGCCCAGGCCAGCTCCTTCGTGGGATGAGGACTCACAACGTTAGAGAGGCTGGTCTCAGCCTCACCGGCCCCAGTCCTCCTGACTCCTGACTCCAGCACCTGGCTCCTGCCACTGAGCCCAACCACACCAGCAGGTGCGTGGGACTGGCAGAGGCCATGCACGCAGCATGGCAGGGACAATGCAGCCAGCAGCGCCCAGCCTGCCCTAGGACGGACACTCGGAAAGCTGGAGGATGTGCTCCCAGGACAGGAAGGATGGGCCACAGGAGCAGGAGCCACAGTGCGATGCCACCATCATACGCACAAACTGCTCTCGTGCTCCCTTCAGCCTTCAGCAGCTGCCGTACAGACCAGCACGAAACCCAGGGCCCTGCATGCGCAGCCAGCACAGACCAGCCGCGGCGGCGGCAGCCTCAGCACCTGCTGGCCTCTTAGAGACCCCGTCCAGTTCATTCACCTGCCTCTACCACAAAGTCCTCTCCCAGGGCCAGGCTGGAACAGGCGCACAGAGACACACGAGAATCAAACACATCAGGTACTTCCACAGCCTCACAAGATGCAGCCACACCAAGCCATGGCCATCCCTGGCCAGGAGAAGGCAGAAGCACAGTCTCTCCTGACAGCCCAGCCACACAGAGGCAAGTTTCCTGGCTCTCCATGCCGAGTGCTGTGCTGAGGCTCAAGTCCAGCCAGCTCCTTCTGCTCCTTCCCAGATGTCCTCAGAAGCCACCCCTTCTGCCAGGAGAAATGCTTCTGGCTGTGCTGTGGGGATGTTCTCTCCTTACAAACATATTCTACACACAATGGGACCTAAGGTCCAGCGGGCAGCCGTGTAGCAGCAGAGGCACGGTTCCCAGGCTCCAGCTGGTCACCTCTTCCCTGCAACCCTCCCCCTCCCTTGCCTGGCTCCACCATGCCCCAGGCCACCCCCAGCTGCCCATGTCCCCATGGGTCCTGCCCACTGACCCACATGTCCTGTCACTGCAGGGATCCTGGCCCTCATGTCCCAGCTCCTGACAGAAGTGATGAGTCCCACAGCTGGACATTCCCGTCTGATCACATCCACACCCACTTTCCATGGAATCCACCCTTCATGGCTCCTCGCTGGCTTCTCTGCAGTCCTGTCCAGCCCCAAGATGAGATGCAAGATCCAAATCCTCAATTTCCTCCCAAAAAGCCTCACTTCCATGCCCCAACATCACGGGTCAAGACCAACGCCTCTAGCCCCTGGAGCACAGAGCTTCCCACGCTTGGCAGCTTCCTGACTCTGCTTCTTAGAGTCATCCTTCCCCACAGAGCTCTCGTCCAGGGAACCCCCCGGGGGCCACGAGGTGAGGGCAGAGGATTGACGGAAAGCAACATCACATCACAGAACAGAAGATGCAGTTAATTCATTCAACAGCCAAAAAACCTTCACTGAGGCTTTAGCTCTGTGGCCATGTGAGGACCTCACTTGGAGAGGGGCTGGCTCACAGACCTGCAGGGAGCCCCAAGACACCTGGACAGACACACAGCAGGGCAACCCGGGTGGACAGCATGGGAGGCCCAGAACACTCCACAGGCAAGAAGCACCAAGGCCGCGTCAGAAAACCTTGGACCCCACCACCAAATCACACCCCTAAACCACAATGTGCCAGACCACAGCACCAGACTCTGGAGTTCCCTGGAGCACAAGGCAGCCACGGCAGTTGACTGAACGGGGCTGACGCTGCAGGGACACAGTCTGCCAGGCAGAGACAGCCCAGCTGCCACCTGGGGACCCGACCACGAACCCTGCAGACTGCCCGTGAGACGGCGCCACCTCACAGCAAGCAGGATGGTTCCACTTCGTGCCTAGGATGGCAGCAAGAAGCACCACGAGGAAATTCCATGAGGCTCTCAGGCCAGATGCCGGCCATCGACCAGCTCTTCCTAAAACCCAGCGGCTCCTCACTAGGCAGCGTGAGCAGACGGCGCCCACTGCGGGTCCTGGGCCTGTGCAGGGCCACCTGTGTTTTCAGTTTACTTCTGTGCATCTCACAGAAGCTACTTCACTCTGCAAACCTATTTTCTCAGAACTGTTTCACAACTTCGCCTGAGTCTATAATTCAAACCTACTACCAAAATGTAAGAGTTTGGTTTGTTCTTTTAAAAGGAGAAGGATGGTCTTCCCTCCTGCTCTCTCAGCTCTCTCGAGCCCTCCCCACCCCACCACAATCCAAGCTCAACCAGCCTTCAGGGCAAGGCCCTTAAATCACTCCTGGCATATTTCCAAAACCCACACTCCAGGCCCAGCACACAGACCCCACCCACATGGCCCAGGGCTCACTGGGTCCCACCCCTGCTGTCCCCAGCCTGGAGGCCCATGCAGCCACAGCAATAACACATCCCTAGGCATCCCCGGTCCCCAGAGCTGGCCACTGCCCATCAGCAGGTATACAGGCAGGGCGGGGACAGGCATGGGGAGTACAGCTGAAAATGGAAGAAACACCCAGTGACAGGCAGGGATGAGTCACCCCCCCCAGTCACGGAACCAGAGCCCAGGGCACACCTAATTCCCCCTACAGCTCCAGGGCTGAACGAGACTGAGGCTTCCCAATGGGGAACCTGGGCCCAGGAGCCAGCGCCACATCCAGCCTGCACCAGGTGCCCTCTCCTGGAGGGTGAGGGCAAGAGAGGTGGAGAGACTGCGGGGGCTTCAAGCCACGTACCTGCTGTGAGCTTCGCTGAGACTGCAGGCTGGACTGGAGCCGCCGCAGCAGGGGGGCGCCGTTCCTTGACAGCCGCTTCAGCAGCCAGTAGCTGTGGGCTCGCTCCACAAACTGCTTCTTCCGCTGAATGGCCACCTGATTCGCAATCCTGTTTAACCTAAAACAGACACTCGGAGTTTACCTTTGAAGGAGTGCGTTAAAATGTTTCACCACAGAAGCTAGAAATGGCCGTGTTACTGCTAATAAAACCACGAGCTCATACTTTTTCTCCCTAAGCCATGACAGGTGCAGTTCCTACTATCTATCCCTGGTGCTGCTACAACAAAGTTCATGACCTCCAACGATCTGAAGAATCCATCCACCTTTCAGGTCGGGTGCAGTGGCTCAAGCCTATAATCCCAGCACTTGGGAGGTGGAGGTGGGAGGATCACTTAAGGCCAGAAGTTTGAGACCAGCCTGGCCAACACAGCGAAATCCCGTCTCTACCAAAACTGCAAAAAAATTAGCTGGGCGTGGTGGTGCACATCTGTAATCCCAGCTACTCAGGAGGCTGAGGCACAAGATCACTGAAACCTGGGAGGCGGAAGTTGCAGTGAGCTGAGATCGCACCACTGCACTCCAGCCTGGGCGACAGAGCAAGACTGACCCAAAAAAAAGAAAAAGATTTTTCATTTACAACAACATTTATCAGATTAAACATCCAAAACGAAAACATGCTAAGCAAAGCCTCCGACAGTTTTCATTGTTTCTACGTGACGCCACAGCACACAAGCCGACTTCAACCACATCTATGTCAGTGGGCCCCCACCCACCCACTGGTCCCCCACATCACCTCCAAGAGGACACAGCTCAAGACGTAAGCCACTGACGGGTGCGACTTTACTGAGCTCACTAAAAAGACATCACGCATCTTCAAGTCTCCCATGAAGTGCAAAGTGCTGCCTTGGGGGCACAGGGAGCCCTCCGGGAGCCTCAAGACCCTCAGTGCCTCTCACGCCACCTCTTCTGGCAGGGCCTGGCGCGAGTGTGGGGCCTGCAGAACACCCACCAGACCCAGAACTGATGGTGAGGTACCTCCCTCACATGAAACCCACCCGGGAACTTTGCCAGACCGGCCCATTACCAAGAGCTCGCGTGCAGATGTGGAGCGCAGGCTAAAACAATCCTGTCCACCAGTCCAAGGGCAGTCTGCACGCTCAGGACACCACATGCCCACCCTGAAACACACCCCTGACAAGAACAGAGGTAGGGGAGGTTGTCAGCAGCTGCACTGAGCTGCTGGGCTCTGATCGCAGCCCCAGGAGGCTGCTCTTCTACACGCTGGGCTGGGCTGGACCTGGTCACCTCATGGGCTGCTGTTGTGGGAGCAGCTTGTTTTTACCACCTTGCACTGAGGCAAACTGTGCAGTAAATAGCACGACACTTGACTCTTCTGGCTCAGTGAGTCACTGTTTTCCTTTGAGACAAAGTCTCACTCTGTCGCCCAGGCTGGAGTGCAGTGGCTCGATCTCGGCTCACTGCGACCTCCACCTCCCAAGTGCAAGCGATTCTCCTGCCTCAGTCTCCCAAGTAGCTGGGACTACAGGGGCCTGCCACCACACTCGGCTAATTTTTGTATTTTCAGCAGAGACTGGGTTTCACATGTTGGCCAGGCTGGTCTGAAACTCCTCACCTCAGGTGATCTGTTGCCTCGGCCTCCCAAAGTGCTGGAATGACAGGTGTGAGCCACCTGGCCCAGCCTCCATGAGTCCTACAGGAATGCAGATGTTTCAACACATACACACACCCTCAGGGTATTTTAATGACCAACTGAGGCAATACAGACATAAGTACTTTTTAACAATTTGAAGATCTAAAGAAATGCTGTTTGGCAATATGCTCATAAAGAAAAGAGGCCAGGACAGGCGCAGTGGCTCAGGCCTATCATCCCAGCACCGTGGGAGGCCGAGGCAGGCAGATCACGAGTTCAAGAGATCGAGACCATCCTGCCCAACATGGTGAAACCCCGTCTCTACTAAAAATACAAAAACTAGCCAGGTGTGGTGGAGGGCACCTGTAGTCCCAGCTACTTGGGAGGCTGAGGCAGGAGAGAATCACTTGAACCCGGGAGATGGAGGTTGCAGTGAGCGAAGATCATGCCATTGCACTCCAGCCTGGGCAACAGAGCGAGACTCTGTCTCAAAAAAAAGAAAAAGAAAGAATGAGGCCCGGCACAATGGCTCCCACCTGTAACCCCAGCACTCTGAGAGGCCGAGGCAGGAGGATCACTTGAGCCTGAAAGTTTGAGACCAGCCTAGTCAAGATGCTAAGACCCCTATCTCTACAAATGAAATTGTTTTCAGTTAGCCAGGCACAGTGGGACGTGCCTGTAGTCCCAGCTACTCACAAGGCTAAGGCAGGAGGATCCCTTGAGAATCTGCTGGATCCCTGGGAGTTCAGGATGGCAGTGAGTCGACAGTGCACCACTGTACTCCAGCCCAGGCAACAGAACAAGGCCCTCTTTTTTTTTTTTTTGAGATGGATTCTCACTGTCGTCCAGGCTGGAGTGCAGTGGCTTGATCTCGGCTCACTACGACCTCCGCCTCCCAGGTTCAAGCGATTCTCTTGCCTCAGCCTCCCAAGTGGCTGGGATTACAGGTGTGCAACACCACACTCAGCATCTAATTTTTGTATTTTTAGTAGAGATGGGGTTTCGCCATGTTGCCCAGGCTGGTCTCAAACTCCTGGCCTCTCAAAAGTGCTGGGATTACAGGCCTGAGCCACCACGCCCAGCCAGCCCTCTCTCAAAAAAAAAAAAAAAAGAGATGCTGTTTGTTTTTATTCTTCTGACCCATGAGATGTGAGAAAAGACTCTGACCTCATAAACAAGCCACCATCTTGTCTAGAGTAAGGACTTCGTTAAACATGGACAGCCCACAAGTTGTGAGCAAAAAGGGTTTGATGAAAATGCTTTAAATACTTAGAGCCAGGTGCCGGGTGTGCGTTTGTGGTCCCAGCTACCTGGGAGACTGAGGGAGCTCATGTAAGAGGCTGAAAAACCCAAAATCAGAGTGAGGAAGAGCAGCTTCCCAGGTAAGATGATGAGCCCTACCTCAACTCAGACAGAGTTAAGGGGAAACAGACCTCAGGTGAGAAAGTTAAGCAGACATACATATGGCAGCTACAGAAAGTGGTTCCTGCTAGTTGGCTGGACTGAGACACTGGCACAGTGGGCGAGACGAGGGCCTGGCACAGCAGCCACAATGCCCACCTCAGGGAGGACTGCAGACAAGTCAGAACTCACACCAGGGAAAAGAACCCCAGAAACGATGGGAGGTCAGCAGAGTTCCAACATCTTGGAAATTCCTTGGATTTTTGTTAAGCCAAGTGTACATGCTGACACATAAGATACTTTACCACGGGATCCACTAAACGCACTGCAGAACATATGCACAGGGAGACCAATCCTGTTAAGATGTCAACACCACCAGAGTGATCTACAGATTCAATGCAATTCCTATTAAAATACCAATGTCGTCTTTTGCAGAAATAGGAAAACCCATCCTAAAATTCATATGGATACTCAAGGAACCCCCAGCAGTCAAAACCACCTTGAGAAAGAGCAAAGCTGGAAAAGTCATTGCTTCCTGGCTTGAGGACCTACCACAACACTAGTCATCCAAGCACGTGGTGCTGATCAAAGGACAGACACACAGACCAGGGGACAGCAGAGCGCCCCGAAGCAAACCCTCCCGTATCCAGCACAGACTGCTGACAACTCTATGCTGAATTCCTGGCCTCTCAAAGTGCTGGGAGTACAGGCTTGAGCCACCACGCCCAGCCAGCCCTATGTCTTACAAAAGAAAGCTTTTGTTTGTTTTCATTCTTCTGACCCAAGAGATGTGAGAAAAGATTGTGACCTCATAAACAAGCCGCCATCTTCTCCACAGTCAGAGTCAGGGTTTCTTGCTGTGAGCTGAGTTGTGAATGCCAAGACCACACAGTGGGAAAAGGCCGTCTTTTCAGCAGATGGCACCAAGACAAGTGGATACGGCCATGCAAAACAATGTCGAGTTGAACCTTGCCTCATTCCACACACAAAAATTAACTCAAAATCAAAGACCTAAACGTAAGATCTAAAACCATACATCTCCTAAAACAGAGGGCAAAAGCTTCATGGCACTGGATTTGGCAAGAATTTCTTAAAGAAGACACTCAAGGTGCAGGGAACAAAAGAAAAACCTAGACTTGATGAAGAATTTCAAAACGTGTGCATTAAAAGACACGGCAGAGTGAATGGAAGCAAATATTTTTGAATCATGGATCTGGTAACAGATTAATATCCAGAAACTCCTCAAACTCAACATAAAATAAACAGCCCAGTTCAAAAGTGGGCAAAACACTCAAATAGATAATTCTTCAAAAGTACAAATGCTCAATAAACACATGAAAAGATGCTCAACATCAATAATTAGAGAAATTCAAACCCAAACTATGATGTCAGCCTCACACTCATTAGAATGTCTATCAGGGCCGGGCGCAGTGGTTCAAGCCTGTAATCCCAGCACTTTGGGAGGCCGAGGCGGGTGGATCACGAGGTCCATAGATCGAGACCATCCTGGTCAACACGGTCAAACCCTGTCTCTACTAAAAAAAAAAAATACAAAAAAAATACAAAAAATTAGCTGGGCATGGTGGCACGTGCCTATAATCCCAGCTACTCAGGAGGCTGAGGGAGGAGAATTGCCTGAACCCAGGAGGCGGAGGTTGCGGTGAGCTGAGATTGCGCCATTGCACTCCAGCCTGGGTAACAAGAGCGAAACTCCGTCTCAAAAAAAAAAAGAATGGCTATCAAAAAATACTAACAAGAGAACGACGTTGGCAAGGACGTGGAAACGCAGAACCCTCGCGCACTGCCCGCGGCCACTGCGGAAAACAGTGCCGTGGCTCCTCAAAATGTTGAAAATGGAAGTACCATCTGACCCAGCAATCCCACTTCTGGGTATACACCCAAAGGAACTGAAAACAGGACTCCGACCCTCATCGCCATGTTCTTCACAGCATTACTCACAAGAGGGAAGATATGGAAGGAACCCAAGCGCCCATCAAGGAATGAATGGGTAAGCAAAAGTTTCTCTCCACATACAATCAACGGGTAAGGAGGAGGTCTTCTCTACA